GCTCTTTGGTGAATCAGTTTTTATTAATTTTAAATTGCTTCCAATTTTCTGAAGTGTATGATTCAAAACAGTAATCCACTCAGAAAAATGTCATTACTTGTTTTATGGAGGTGTGTGGGGTGAACTACAGTTTGGCGAAAATTGTACTTTCCCCTCCTATATAAAAAGATGATTTATGAACTCGGTGTGTATGTTATAAAACGGAATATCAAAAGCATTTTTTTTTTGCTGCGGCTGTAGTTCTTAAGCATCCATTTGAGGTCCTAAATTATCCATCATCAGTCACGCAATGGGGTTTTTAAAAACAATACAAAGACTTACTCCATTATAAAAGAATACAAAGTAAATACCATTTTAGTTCTGACACATTTGTTAATGCTTTTCCTTTAGATTTAAATTTTGACTTGTTAAAGCAGGAATGTGATTACTGCTTAAAATTCAAATTTCTACTACCCTGGACAAAGAGCACATTAATGACAATGTTCTCTCTGTTTACTCCTCCATCTTCTGAACTGCAAACAACTGCACGTTATGGGAATCATTCATATAAAAAAAAACAAAGATGATACATTTTGTGCGCAAAAGGGATGAAATCTGCTACCGTAACGAGCTTGTGTATGCACACACAAGACGTATGGAACTTACGACAAAAATAGAGCTGCAAAAAATAATTTGGCTAAAAAAATGACAAGCAGAAAAATGAATAAAAAATAAAAGACCACTTCTCTGTTGTGAACTATTATATCCCTTTTGAAAAGCCAACATTTACATACAGATATATGATCTCACACTGTACGTCTGTGGATTTAGTTACTGAGTTTTCCAACTGTAAAGCAGCACAGTTTATCATTAAAAGAAAGCTTCTTCTTATTAAAAGAAATACATCCACAATCCCCCTTGTAGTGAACACTAGGATACATGATCACCAGGTAAAGTAAACTTTGAGAATACAGGGCAAAAGTCATTTCTTGGAAACTAGTTAGCAAGAAAAGTTCAACTAAAACCAATACTGGGACAAGGACTGTATCTTGCTCCATTTTATTTGAAGGATAGAAGAAGGAAGGAGGAATGAGTGACAGGTTTCAAATGTGGATACATTCGTATGTTGTCTTCCTTCCACTAAAAGTTATTATACCCCATAAAAAATGCCTTGATTCATAGATAAAGAATAAATACAATTTAATGGGAATAAAAAAAATGAGAATTTCTTCTTTTTATTGAAGGAAAACCAAATGTGTTCTGATCTAGGATTCGCCCTTAACCCACCTCTGCTGCATTTTTGCTAAATTCTTGGTAGCTTTGAACGCAGAGGGTCTTTGGGCAGGAAACAGGCGGTTAAAAACACGTCAAAGGGGGAATTTAAAAACCGGGTTCTGACAAAAACAGAAACTTTTCTTTTTTAAGATCTCCAAAACCAACAAACACACATGGCTGGCTCAACAAGAGCATGAACTGAATTTATTTTTTTACCACAGGTTTTCACTATTGGATGCCCCTCTTGGCAATTTTTCACAGCCGCAAGCTTGAAATTTTGCAAAATTGTTAAAATTGTTTTTTTATGTTACACTAAGAGGTGTGGATGTACTGAACAAACGATCAGGACGTGCTCTAGAACAGAGTGCACTGAATGTCTTCAGTTAGACACTATCAGCAGCCAAACACCAAACATGCAAGAATGGCCAAATACCCTTCTCTTGTCTTTAATCTAGAAAAATGCACAAAAAGACACTTTTTAGGTTTTCTATGCACGTTGTACTTGTGGCTATATATGAAACACATATAACAATATAAAACAGTGGTTACTAGTTATAGGGCTTCACTGGACTGATACATTCCAAACAGCAAAAACATTTTTTCCCACAAAACAGTTTTTGCAACAGGACATGTCTGCAGACAATTACCAGACCTTCAGTGTTGCTGTTGTTAAGTCTAATATTGGAAATCCCACCAACTGAGATTTCACAGATCAGCAGATCAGATGATACCGGGCCCATGTTACTCATGATGGATTTTACTCTGTGTGCAGGGGAATGAGAAACAATGCAGATGTGGCATGAAGTACAGACACTATCCATCCATTTTTAACCCCTTCTTTCAATTCAGGGTCGCAGGGTCGCTGGAGCCTATCCCAGCAGGCAAAAGGAAAAAGGCAGGGTACACCCTGGATGGGACACCAGTCTATCGCAGGGCAGAGTAAATGAACACACACCTAGGGCCAATTTTCCCAGCAGCCCATTAATCTACCAGTCTGTGGGCTGTGGGAGGAAACCAGAGCAAACACAGGGAGAACACGCACACTTCCAACAGATAACACCCCAGGTGTGTAATTGAACCCAGGCGAGGCAGCAACGCTAACCACTATGCCATTATGTCACCAATACAGACACTAATCTGGTTCAAATGTAATAGCCTGATCTTTGCTTGCTCTCAAGAGCAGGTGATAAGGCTGTTTCCTACTGTAGTGTAACCCACCAAGACGTTTAGATCTAATCCCCTACTACTGCCAGAACCACAGCACCTGCTGTGAGATCTATGGCTACTACTACCTCTGCTATTACTTGCATGGCTACTACATCTTCTCAAACTGTGAAACACAATAACTCGCAGTTTCCTGAACTTTAAGACAGTAGTATTGCTTGAGATGAATCAAGCCACAAACCACATACCAGAGCCACTGACGCAAAGAGATGCATCTATGACTCCCTGCCAGTCCTTTATCAAAACTCTCACACATCAGTGGCCTGGAGAAAAAGTCATGCTCCTGGCACCTCGCAATGAATTTTATTTTCCCCATGGTGAGCGCCCAGATGCTTAAAGCAATTAGCCTGTGACACGCTGTGACCGTTGTTACCTTGCAACACTTAGCTGCAGGTGAAGGATGGCTGCTCCAGTTTTCTGCTTGCTACAAACCTCCATGAACCTGCTCTGGGCCTTGTGGCACACAGACTCGACAGCTATACGGCCATCATGCAGTCACTTCACACTGGTCTGATACACGATCATCAGCTGCACAAAAACACAGACTGGTTCGTAGCCTAAGAAGGGGTCATGCCCTCACCCCAGGCCCAGTTTAGATCCATGAAAAGAGCTGATTGAACCCACGGCCTCTCAGTCTCAGTCAGCCTTTTGGCACATCCATGAAAAAATGGAAGCTTACTAAAATACAAAACCTGAAATAATTTAATATATTGGTGTGTAAAGAAACATTTAATCTATTTCAAATTGCTTTACATTTAATATATGACTTAGAAATCTGTACCTTGGGTATGCTTTGCCTACTTGTGAATTTTTTTCCCAGCTCCCAGAAGTGGTTTATTTTCTAAATTAATTATTCAGTTTCTAACTTAAGCATCACCTTCTCAATTGCGATGTGCTGTGGTGTAGCACCTGCGGTACCTTCACGTCACTGTCTTGCACTACTGAAACAAAAGTCTGTCACACAGAATGACTACCTTACAGACTGCACAACCTTTCTATTTCAATATGCTTCTGCCTGTGTGCAAGTTATTTATCTTAAGAAATCCCCACCTATGTAATTCGCAAGAGAAAACTAGGTGGATTGTGATGTGTAGTCAAAACCGAGAACAGGAGGAACTGTTTTACCCAAAGGGTGGTGGGAGCATGGAACAAGCTACCCAGCCATGTTGTTGAACTCAATACTCTGGTTTCTTTCAAAAAAATGACAGGAGGAGACCCTCTGATCAAGCTATTACTAACGACCAATTGGGCTAGATCCTCGACATTTGTAACCTTCTTCATTTATTAAGGTGAGCAACAGAGTCCATTTAAATAGTGTTATAAAAACTGCGCAGAAGAAAACCATTTATAGGAAGAACTGGCTTGTATTCACATATTTCTAATTCACACTGTATGCACGGTAAGCCAGTGCACTGGAGGGCAAACACGTGCCCAATTCGCCGCAGAAACTAGCCAGTACTATTCTGGACTCTGGAAGTTCTAATTTGGACTTCTTCATATCGCTCCCTCTGTGACACTCCCCAGCTATGCCTCTTCTCAGACATCTTAGATTTCCCAGAACGCACTGCAAAACGAACTAGGGACACCCTAGCGAAGAAAAGACAGATACAGCCATCTTAACACTACATCTTTCTGCAGCCTGACGTAACACCACACTAAGCCTTTGGTATTAGTCCACCTTAATGCAACTGGCCCACTGGCCTTAAGATACTACAAAATAAAGGACTGAGGGAGCATGAAGCCTACTGCAGCTTCATACCAGAACAAATCTCATGTTTCTCAGACACGATAGTAAGATCTTCTTGCAGTCAACCAACTGATCAGAGTTGGGAGAACACAGCCCTTACTATGTGTTTTGATGGAGAACTCAAAGCTGTAGAGGGGGGGAGAAGTTTTTTTTTTTTGCCTTCATCATTTCCAATTAACACTTTCGTGTCAGAGGGCCGCCCGCCCACCTTGTTTTTCTTTTCCATTTCTCAGGGCACATATTACTCAGTGGTTAAATTACTCACCCGATTAGGGACACCATCTGCTCCACTATGTGCTTGCTAAACGTTATTATAACAAACAGTTTCTGTGGGAAGAGGAAAAAAAAAGTATGCAGTCAGAAGTAGTCAAGGGAAATGAAACAATAAATGTATGATTATTAATACTCCACCTAAACCCAGGCTTACTGTCCAAACGGGGGCAGAAAAGCAATTGACAGACTGAGCATCTGTGATTGGATCTGAAAGGACCTTTCATTTACCCCATGACACATGCACAACAGCTCTTCTGCACAACCCCCCCCTCCCCCACAACTTCAGCTGTTCCAAACTCAAGTAACGACCCCCCCGGTTGTCCATCCCAATACCCCATACAGACATAAAGAAAATCAATGACATGGTATGAAATCACAGTCCACTTTAGTTTTGTGAGACACCTCTTGCCCTAGCCGCCTGCAAAAATAAACACAGTTTAAAGACATACACAAACTCCCCATTTGTCTGGAATTCGATTAGTCATGAGCTCGAGGTTTCAGACTGACAAACGAGTTAGGAGTCACTCTTGAGTATGTTATGGACTGTTTGCCTCAGTGTATTCTCAAACGAGAGTACCAACGCCTCATCATGAGGAAGCAATCCACTCAACAGCAACATCATTGCAAGATACGCAGCCAGGCCTCATGAGAATGAAGAGATTTGTTTCCCAATCACTACTGCTCAGGGTTTTGTCTCTTGATCACAGACTCAGCATTAGAATGAAGAATCAAGAACAGTTCTTAAAATCGAATATATTTTTCTGCTGTTCCCTTCTGCTGTGTGTTGATGCATCCTTCTAATGCAGGAGACCATGTCCTTTTATTATTGCAACCTGAGGTCATGTAATGTCATGTTAGAGAAGAAATCATTAATCTGAGACGTACGAAAAGCAACCCAAAAATACTGGACATGTTTCATGTTTTTGTCCAGCGGTGGCTTGTAAGGAGAGACATGCTTATTTAAAGAATTGTCTGATTATTTAATTTAATTTAAAGAAAAGTCTGATTAGACTTTATACACAATGTAATTAAAACAAAGCAAATGCTATTGAACTATGTTAACTGCAAAGTTGCAATCTTTGTCTTTTCCACCCAATCAGTCTTGTTTGTTTGGCATCTATGGTGGGTGAGGGGAAAAATGTCTTCATCAGATGAACTGACAACATATTCTAACAGATTAATTGTTAGCAAGTGGTATTTTAATCAATATATGCTACTACAGGGTAAAGGATTTACGTATCCCTAAATCAAAATAATTCACACATCAGCCCACTTATGAACCCTGTCAAAACCATGACAGCTGTGAAACTCTTCCTTGTTCTGAGTTAAATTTTTCAGTGGGCTTCTTTTCCATGAGTGGCCGCAACTGAAAACATTGCAGAATGAAAATGAATGTTAAGCCAAGAAACCTATTTTGATAATTAACAAATATTCAACAGAGTATTCTCCATTTAAATAAAATGTGTTTGCAGGTAAGTAACTTCAAAACTCCCATTAAAATAACCTGTGCTTTACCTCGAGATGCTGTGACTGATAGTGGTTACAGACGTAAGCACTGGCAACCCTAATTTTCCCAATGTTATTCACAAATGGACACAATGCAAAAACAATGTTAATTAAACTACGCTTGTTTGACAGTGGATAGCTCTTGCATGTTCATGAATATAACTAGCAAAATCGTAGTGATAATTTCTTTAAAATTAACCGAATTCCAGGCAAATGGTACTAAGATAAATGTATACTACTACTACTACTAATAATAATAATTAATTATATACTTAAAATTAAACAGGTAAAGGTTAATTACACACTGATAAAGAAATACAAAATATTTTTAATAATAGAGCTCTTGACTCTAAACTCATAATTTAATGGTAACACTGAACCACCAGTGCATATGTGTTTTGAGGTAATACAAGACACAATCTCTGAAAACCTGACAAACCTGTAAGGAATTAATTCCACGAGATCAGCTGAAGGAGAACGGCAATATTTTCAGCATTATAACTAGCTTCAGTCCAGCTAACGAATATGACAGACCCGCTGTTTGACCCTTTCGATTTTCAGTCTATCTCTCGATGACACTCAGTCAGTAAATCACAGATATTTCAAATATCTGTGATTTACTTTTACATTTACCTTGTAGACAATAATCGAACAAAGGTGTCTGATCTATTTAGGAGTTTGACAATCGATTTACATTATGCATGCTTCATAGTAAAAGAAACCTTGAAAACCCTTATCCAGGGACAAAGAACATCACCTGTGGCTTTGTCATAGGAAAGCAAGGCTGCAACCAATCACTTCTCACATAAAATAATAACTCAGCCAGAATGTACACTATCAGATATGTGTCATGCCCGGTAATCATATTTTGTGGTCAATATTTTTATTCAATTTTCAAACAGATTAAATATCTTAATACAAAAATTGATACCTAATTAAAACAAATATCCATGTGACAACCAACATCACAGTAAACAATTTACAATTACACAGTATACAAAGTCATACAATTTCACCCAAAGCTCATATAATACTAGTTCAAACCACATTAATATAGAACATGCTATATGTGTATTTAGTTTTTTAAAAAGCGAGTGTACTTCTATTAGCTGTGGAAAACCCTACCCTAAACTGGATCATTTTAGAATTTGCCTATTTATTTTTTGGATACTTAGTAATGATTAGAAGTGGATTTATAGAAAACATTGCTAAATATGTCTTAGCAGCTTATTCGTATGCAAGCTCTGTACTCATATATGCAAATATGTTGGCATATGTCATTTGTGCTCACATATGTAAATGCGTCATTCTTACATTAATAATTATTACCTCTTAAAAGCTATTTTATTAAATAAATGTGTGTTTTGGTGATATTTTATGCTTGAAATGCCTCACAAAACAAAACTTTGTACTTCATTAACAAAACTGTCAAGTACAACGATAAGGAAGGATCTTTTAGGTGTTATTAGAGCTTAATCGGCCAATTCGAAGTGAAACAGAAAAGCGACGTGTAAGCATTTTATGTAAATTCCACTCCTATTTCTCCCAGAGATAAAATATGTTGAAGTCCTTTCGTTTGAAAAGAGATATGTTCTAGATTGCGTAATGCGAACGGTGAAAAATACTTTAATGAAACAGAAGTGCGTCACTTTCACAAAAGGCACATTGTCTATATATATACTCACCTGTATCCCAGATCAAATACAATTGTGAAAGACTACTTAGGAATTAACTAAGTATTAAATACCCACACAAGGACAAAACGGTGCTCTCAAAGTACAGAGCTTTGTTTCTGTCAATACAGCTAAATGTAAACCTTACCTGGGAAATTCTATTAATATATTTAATTTACTATTCTGTTTTCAGTATTTTTCTAAGATGTGCAACACAGTTATTGAGGATATTCGAAAAGCATATAAAGCATCGAGTTTTAGAATATGAAATTAGTGATTATCAACAAAAAAGTATCTTAATTCTTACAGATATCAGAACTGCCTTGAAGACAAGACGATACTACAAAGGCAGATTCAGAAGCCATTTTTGAGCTGTGAGGTTTTTTCAGAGCGGAATATACTGTTCTTTGTTGTCTGTTTCCTACTCAAAGAGCACCACACCTAACACCCAGCACAGAAGCTGGTACCCTTGGGACTAAAGGCGTAAAACATTTCAAGTATAATTCAGGCTAGATTTTCTTAGAACTATGATCTCCCAACTAATTTGTTCATTTAATACAGCACATCTTATTTTCTTTATGTGTTTTATGTATATATCCTTCTTGTTTCTTTTTATGATATCACGCGTCTGGCAAAATCATTATCTACACATCACTGCATGTACTTTGGGCAATACTAGGTCTTTGTTTAATGTTGATACACAGGTGTGATCAAACTTGTTCTGATGCTTCACTGAAGGCAGATCGTTTGTCATAGGCTACCTGTAAGGTAAAAGCTAAAGACAAAGGTGTGTACTGATGCAAGAATTCCAGGTCCACCTTAATAAGAGGGCATTTTTTTCTTCGACTTATTTAAGGAAAAGGCTTTTCCTTGGAAGAATATCGAGTTTTGTTATTAGGATTACAAAGTACTCCTATGGTGTAAATCGGAGTCTCTCCTATTATACTGTCTGCATTTCCCTTTAAAGAGTACTAAGAGAGGCACATTAATTTATGTATTTAAGATCGCTCATTTGACATTGTGTGATTTTTTTGGTTCAAACCAAGATTCAAGTATCATCTTGTTGCTTACCCAGACTGCAGGAGTCAGATTAAGCCAAATAAGTTTTTCTCGTCCTGTTTCTGCTGAACCCTTATGCACACCGTGTATTCAAAAGCTTATAAAATGGACGCCTTAGGAAACAGAACTGTTTCCTAAAATGGCCACTCACTCAGGAGACAGGGGATCACACTGGAAACTGCCAGGATGAGCAAGTAAGTTACATCATTAGTCAGAACTAGACCCTCTGAAGCAGTAATTATTAATGATCAATTCAGAGTTGGTTGAAGAATAAAAGCAAACTTTTCAATATTATTCACAGAAACCATCACTATTTTTGTAATATCTAAGTACGGGGGGTTTACAGAAAATGAAATGCTGCTGATCTATTGTATAAGATTACACCACTAAACAGCACCGTTAGAATAAAATGACATCATTAAAATTTTAATAGTGTATCCAAGCGTAGCAAGAGCTTTGTTAACAAAGTGCAGACCACCTAAGTCTTTTTTAGTAACACGTGGAGGAAGAGTTTCAGGCACGGAAATGTTCACAACCCAGACTCCTCTTACCTGGATGTGCATTTTTATGATGGCTTTGCCAATCAGAGTCGCCCCAAAGAATGTCCAGAAAGGAACCAGGAAGTGACCACATGTTATTCCAGCCAGGTCAAACAGAGGATTTGGAATCTGTAAAACAGGTATCGATCACATTGCTGCTCTGATAATTCTACATCAGTTAGGTGTTTACAAGGAACATTCATGGCAACTACAGACAAGATTCATGCAGAATTAAATAGCAATAGCTATGAAACAGCAATAGTCTTGCAACAGTTTGAGAAAATTAATTCAACCTTCTAATAGCAGTTCCCCAGCTGAACGACTGATAACCTGATCACATGTGTTTTCAAAATAACCTAAATGTTTCAGGCCATTATTATAACTTTAAATACGGGAAGCATCATATATCCTATACATAGTTTAACAATTTATTTATATTTTCAGAAGTTTTATCAGAAAGATGGACACTATTATTTCATATCATCAGCAAATATTATGAAATACTCCATTATTTTGTCTTAATTTGTTTTTAACATGCAGCAAAGGATTATCTTAGGTGGTCATCAAACTTCTATTTTAACAATCAATCTAGGAAAAAAGGTCTATGAAAAACCTGCCAAAGGCATGTTAGAGCAAATCACAATATGCTTTCTTAACCCTTAAAAACTGGCAAGTAAATCTGAATTATGCCAATTCATGACTAAGTGTAATATGTTTTAAAACATATTGCTTCTTAACAGCTGCAGTTTCCTCACTCTCTTCTTCATACTTTGAAATTTCTGTGACAGTATTAAGCTTCCCATTCAATTTACAGTTATAATGACTACAGATATTTAAACATGCCTTATAAAAAGTTAGTTTTCCAATAAAAATAAGAATAAAAGTGTTATATTTCGGTTAACTACAGACAGTGGGAAGTATAATACGAATTTAAACCACTCACAGACAAGTATATAAAAATGTTCAGTATGACGGAACAGTGTGCAGTCATCACAGTCTTAAACTGCCTCTCTAAAAGTACATTTTCACCATCAATGGGAAATTGTAATATTATGAATTCAACAAATAAACCAACATTTATATGTTCAGTAAAATTAACATTAATGTGAAGTATAGAACTTACTGAGGCACAAGCTAGTATCCCAAAAAACCCAACTTTCTGAATCATGTTTTGAACGGCTAACTTCGCTCTGGTGGCAAAGTCCTGAAAGACAAAAAGACGCACTTAAAATTCCAAATTTTGAAAATCAGGAGCATTTAAAAATACATAAAATATTCCCACTTCCTTCTATCTTTGTATTATTCTAACCACATATTTAAGAATCTTTTTAAAACAAAAGGTAATGTTTCAGTACCTAATTATAAGCTTTTAAAAATGGCATGATTAAATGTCTTTCTTTGAATTTAGAAAAAAAACATTTCTGCAAAACTAATGAAAAGTTAAATATTTTACACAATTGTAACATTTTTAAACATACGTTTTTTGCATATAAAGCATAGAACATGAGACCATGGAGCATACCAGATTACTGAACAGATTTTAGAAATGTCTAAATATACAGTATTTCAATAACTTCTGAATATACCTCCTCCTCAAGACAATTAAATCCTACATTCTAAATATAACAAATATTTTAAGGTTGATTGAAAGATTTTAAAATTGTTAAAGTGAAAATTGTTATTTTGTTTCCTTATTTTAGTTGGAATTTAACATCTAGTGTAATAAATTATCAAAAATGTTAAGGCACAAAAATGTTCTCCAATTTCAAATGTTTTGTTTAAAACTTTAAGATTTGAAAACTTACATGCCTTTTTTTACTATGTATAAATGGAAACAAAATATAATTTACACTTTCCCAGATAACGCAAGGTTTAATTCAAAGTTGAAAAGAATTATATCCACTATTTGCAGCAAATTTAGAAAACCAATTCTCAGTAGAAAATAAAGAGGTTTGTTAACTATCAGTACATTTGCATAAAACTAAAATAAAATTTAGAAAAAAATATTTAAAGCATTTTCCTCAGCTTCTACAAGTCCTTATTTTCATGATTTAAAGATTTACATTATTTGTTTTAGGTTTTAAACTTGACATATAAAATACAGGCTAGGAAAATTAGACAAATTAACGGGAAACTGCTCAAAGTAAAAAAAATCATTCCTCATAATGTGTGGACTTTGAAAACAAAACAAATTAAGATGCAGATATATATTTGATTGCAACTATTTCCTGAACTTATGAAAAAATAAATTTCACACTGTTCAATTTCTTGAAAGTTGTTACAATCATTACAAAAAAGATGATTGAACTTTGAAATCAGCTTTTTTCTCAACAAAACTCTTCTTTAATTAATCTATTAATCTTTAATTAATCTAATCTTTAATTAATCTAATCTTTAATTAATCTAAAGGAATGCATGTAATGTTTTATCTGTGACAAAATTCACAAAGTGTTTTGGTGTTAGAATTTTTTATTTCATTAAGAAAATTATGAGTTAAGCTCCTAAGCACTGTTAAATATTTCTTTATACAACAATACAAAAAATGAGAAGAAAGATTTTGGATTTTACGAAATCCAAAGGAAAGGACACATCAAAATTAAAATTCTGAACTTTCCAAAAGTGAAGACATTTAGAAAGACAGCTGTTGAAAAATACTCAGAACCACTATTCAATGCTTCAATATTTTTTAACAAAAAAATCATGCAAATATAAATACAGATATTTTACATATCTGTTACATCAGATATAAACTACACTCTTTTAAGTTGTTTTTCTGCATTCAGTTCTAATTAAATTTCCCAGCATAAAACCGACATGGTGTGAAATTCTAACGTCCTGTTAGAAAAGGAAAAAAATGTCATATATTCTATTTCACACACATGCTATTAAACTGATAGTACAAGACACACAGTTTTGTTAAAGAAAAAAAAAAACAAGTCAGGTAAGCTCAAACGTCACTCATTCACTGGAATTTCCTTATCTCAGGGAGCAACACAAAGGAACATGATGTTCAAAGCAAAAACAACCAACAAAGACAAGTAGGTCTGTCCTGACAGAAACACATTCATGAACAAAACCCTGGTCATTTCCAAAAGTCCAACTTAAATCAGCTTATAGATTTTATTTTTACTTTGTTGTCCTTGGTTTGATTTACATCTATACGTTTCACATTTTCAATGGGACCTCACCTTTCCACAGTCTAAAACAATTCTACATTTATCTGTATTGCTACAAAATATATTTTAAGAATTAGTCTGGTAGCGTGGGGGGTATCGATACTCATTTTGAAAAGTGACATTAAAGCCAAAAAAAGGTGTGGCCGTTCCTAAGCTTCAATGGTTGTGAAGGAAAACTCAGTTATATCTTTGTGTACGCTTGTCATAAATTAATATACACTAAGCAAACGTAACAGATTGTAGGCTCCTTATGAAAATGACCTTGTACTGTAAATAAAGACTTACAAGAGTCCTCCAAAAGGGAAACAAAACTGCTTCATCATGCTTTGAGCCACACCTTGTGCCTGTTTCACAATACTAAACCCATTTGATCACGCGGGAGCCTCTATTAACCCCTTCGAATGTGTCTATCGGAGCAGCTTAAAAGAAACTGAAAATGATTATTGAAAACATCTGTGTAATGCCAATGATAATAATAACAACAACAACAATAATAATGATACAGAAGAGAACTTCCTAATATTTGAATAGGAGGATACTGATTCTATTGTCAGAGCTTTTTAAAAGCACACAGCATAATAGGCTGACCTTGAATTTGAATGGAATACAGTACATTTTCCTCATAACGTTCAAAAAATAGTTCATCAGGCATTATTTTCATCTCCCCATTACATGCTGACACAGATGAGTAATTTTATAATAGTCTCTAAAAATGCCATGTTTAACAGTTTCATTTTTAAAGGTTGTGAGGACTTTTTAACCTCTGGAAGACTAGAATACAGACATGAAATATTGAGTTTATTGATTCTTGTATTTCATATTTAGTTTTGGAAAGTCTCACTATTTTGCTTTCACAATATTTATCAATTTTTTTTTTGCTTTGGTGCAAAGTAAATAAAAAACCACCCATTAAATACAAAAGGGAATGTAGAATTGTAACTGTACTGTACAGAATATACAACTGGAGTTTTAATACCTGAAGACTGATTTATAGAATTTGTATCAAATCAAAAAGTGAAAACAATAGCTGGAAAAAACCCTACAAAAGTTAGATATTAAAAAATAAAATGCTGACAGGTACAAATGATCTTTCACCTTTATAACCTTATATATTATTATTATTATAAAATATATTAACCCTTTTGATCACTTACCCCATTGAATCAGTATTCAGTTCCAGACAAAACAAATTAAGTAAGGCCTGCCTCTCAGACTATTCCAATGACTAAGAAACTCTCCCATATCTCGGCTGCTTTCTGCTGTCATTCCTGACTATCCTTCACCTCTTTCTCAACTCTTACTACAAAGAAGCTGTTTTCTTTCAGGGAATGGCCTTTCCTGATTCTCTCTAGGACCGGGAAGAGGAGGGTTAAAAGCTTCTCTCTTTTTTATGTTATTTCAAAATACTGGGATGAATCTTTTACCAGCATGAAACATGTCTGGTCTTCTGGATTCCACTAACCCAAATGACAAGTTAATTTAAAGTGAGGGGTTGTTAAGGACAAAGCAGCACACTGCAAAACATGTTCATTAAAAAATAAAACATCCAAATATATATTTAGAATAGCTGTGCACCTACCCCTGTATGTGAATTTATTCCAGATTGGTAGGTTATTATGGTAACTGAATGGATTTTATTAGTTGTTAATTCTGAAGACAAATCCATGCGCAAAACTGTTGTTTTTTTTTATGTGCAATATTTTTTAAAAAAGCAAAAACTAAAGGTATCTGTACCACAAACATGATACAGTAATTTGCACTGAAGTATACTGAAAGTTTTTTTTTAAAGTACTTTCACATCTTTGCGAATTAATTATACATTTCAAACCTGTTTGGTAAGGTTGAACAAAGGGGAAATTGTGCTTTGCACCTACTGATAATTATTTTTGTTATACAAATATGTAATATAGGAATCTGGCAGAGCATTTATGTTTTGTTTCATTTTCATGTTTTAAAAGTGAGATGCTAAAAAACATTGTAAGCAAAAAGCTTTCATTTGAATGCAGTTAATTTCACACACCGCAAAAACATTTCATACACTATAAATTGATAGCTATCAGAACCAAATAACTTTTTTAAATGGCATGTTACATATTTTATTACAGAAACATTTTGTGAACTTTGACTTTGTCTGCTATTCTTTATCTTGCCGTTTTACTTTTATACCAAACACACAGATTTCTTGAACATTTTGTAAAGATTTACATTCAGAAAGCTTTGATTAAGGATGAAAAGCTGCAACAACTTATTTTTTTTATAATTAAGCAATAATCAGGCTGTGTTTAACAAAAGGACATGACAATAACTACCTATGTTTTGTTGAGTATATTCCTGTAACTTAATAGACAGGTATACAGGACATATAACAGGACAGAGCGTAAGTAATTTTTAAACCAATACATCCACATTTCAGAAAACTGCTGTCCTTTAAACATTTCAGTTACTTTCAGTGTTTCTCAACAGTGTATAAAGAAGATGTAAATTATTTTAAAAAGTTACTTGTAAGTTTATAATCCAAACAGAAGATAATACACTCATTTATGGCTTTACTGTAATTCCATGCTTGATAATTTTGCTATTAAGTAATATTTTAGGGATTCCTTCAACCTACACATCAGTTAATTCTGTATATTTATTGGACTTAGAAAAAATAAGTTTTAAATCTCTATTTTTATGCATGTAGGTCAATAAAAAATAAAAGAAAGGAGCACCATTTTCATTTTCAGTGGTGACACCATCAGAGGAAAGGCTGAAATTGTAGGAATAACCTGATCAGTCATGACAACAACTATTACAGAGGGATGTTCTAGTTAATTCTTTTTTCTAATCTTCCTGGGTGATCAAACCATTCATGGGTTGATGTCACTCGGGAGGTTCAGAAAAAAATTAAAATTCTAAAGCAATACAAAATGGATATATCCAGTCATGTTTTCTTCAGAAAACACACATGCTATAATTTTGGCTGTATGGCATGAATCAATAAATCAGTCCATCTGTGAGTTTCTGACTTTGAATGGAAACATGAACA